TGGGGTACCCCAAAGAATTCGGCCATGCGCGTCATTTGCGTTGTCATCTGTTGATTCGACTGTGTAGCAGTCTGAATGAGGGGATTTAGCAATGTACTTAGAGTTTGTGCTAACATTTGTACCATTTCATGATTACTCTCGTCCATTTGTTGCCTTAAAATTGTCGTCGAAGCATTTGTGAGGCTTGATATCATGTGAGATGGCCCTCCCAAAAATTGGTTTCTACTGGTTCCAGATCCCTGTAATGGTGATGCTGCATTTACCAAGGGTTCTGAAAAAGTAGACGCAGCATTCATAAGGCTAGCCATTTCAGTAGTTGGCATGCCATATGGTTGTTCTCGACCCATCCAGGTTGTCGAAAAGCCTGGGGGTACAGTTGATCGAGACCCTAGGTTTATCCTTGGTGGGGGTGTTCCCAAAGGACCTCTTGGACCCACATACGTAAGTAAGGGTCCAGTTTTATTCATGGTTAACGCTGGTATGGATCCAACAGAAGTTGGGATATTCCCTTCGACAGCAGTAGTAACTGCTGTTCTTGTGATCGGTGGAGGTATTTCTCCATGGTTTGGCTCGTTAGCCATACTACTCTCTCCATTTTCTTTCCTAACAGTATATTTGTTGGTTATTCTACCACTTCGTAATAACATGCAATGTTATAACTGTACAGGAAAAAACACAATAACATAGAAAATTAGCAACGTCCCACTGGGCGTGCCAATTTGTTTACCGTTGTTTTTGGTAAACAACCGATGATCTCCAAAAAAGGTAAGGTTTTTGGTTTACTTACGGGATCGACCAAACTAATCCCAGAACATATGCTAATCTTTATGTAAAATGAGTAAGAAGGAAAAACGCACGTTCGACCCAGGGGAAGGATGTTTAAGATTGTTGAACAGTAAGCAAAAGCATAAAAATGCAAGTAAAAGAAGTAAAAAGATGACTTTGCAGGATAATGGTAAAGTAATGTAAAAAGACTTTTATTAAGTAAAAAAGGTGTTTCTAACGTACATTGCTCTGCTTTTATCCTTTCTCACGCAGTAGTTACTTGGATAATATTTGAGAGATTTAGTACCATAAGTTGAACACACCCAAAAAAATTACACAAGCTTCTTAATTTATACTAAAAGTAGGTAACCGTCGAGGGGACATTCTGCGCTAGGATGAAGACAAGTGTCTTCTGCATGCCTCTCGACCCATATCTTTTTGCCACGTTGCCTTTCCTTAGACGCTGATGAAAACTACCTTTCCCTCCAATAATTCAAATTTCAAATGGTCTTCGATCCATGTGCCAAAGCGTGAACACTTTCCTTCAGTCGAGCGACATAAATCTACTCCAGTCGAATGAACCCTTGGTCGAAGATTATCATAACTTAGATCCTTTTTCCTAAGTTATCTCATGTGTCGAATGATACTTCCTGGTCTAGTTCATTCCAGTTTCTTGGTCCAAAAGACCACATATAGTAGGTGTCGAATTTGGGAGCCAACACACGCTCTATGTACCGGAATTAGACGAAAATTTGCTTAGCATTGGACAACTTCTGGAGCACGGCTATTCTCTAAACTTTGAGAATAACGAGTGCAGAATTTTTGACTCAGAAAGAAGAAGTGTTGTTGTTGTGAAGATGACTAGCAACAGGAGCTTTCCACTATCTTTTAACTATGAGAAAAATGTAAGCATGATGGCCAGAGAAGAGAATGACTCGTGTTTATGGCACAGGAGACTTGGGCATTTGAATTACGAAAGCCTCAAGTTACTCTATCAAAAGAAGATGGTGTATGGGCTGCCAAGAATTGAAGAAAAATCTGGTGTGTGCGAAGGTTGTGTGCTTGGCAAACACCATCGGCAACCATTTCCAAAGGAAGGTGCATGGAGAGCTAAACAAGTGTTGGAACTTGTACACACAGATGTGTGTGGCCCTATGAATACTTTGTCTCATGGCAAAAATAGGTACTTTATCTTGTTTATTGACGACTTTACCCGCATGACTTGGGTATATTTCATGAGACAAAAATCTGAAGTGTTTGTAATCTTTAAGAAATTTAAAGCATTAATCGAAAAACAAAGTGGCAGATTTATAAAGATGCTGAGAAGTGATCGAGGGAAGGAGTACACCTCAAATGAATTTCATAAATTTTGTGAAGATGAAGGTGTTGAAAGATAGCTCACTGTTGGATATACACCTCAGCAAAATGGTGTATCTGAAAGAAAGAACCAAGCCGTGATGGAGATGGCGAAGTCTATGCTACTTGAGAAAGGTATGCCTAAAACCTTTTGGCCCGAGGCCGTTAACACTGCTGTGTATTTGATGAACAGGTGTCCAACAAAGGTCGTGTGGAAAAAGACTCCATTTGAAGCCTGGAGTGGAAGAACACCGTCGGTGAACCATCTTAAAAAATTTTGGTGTGTTTGCCATGCTCAAATTCCTAAATAAAAGAGGACAAAGCTAGAAGAAACAAGTGAAAGATGTGTCTTTATTGGCTATAGTTCCATGTCAAAGGGCTATAGACTTTACAACTTGAAGACAAACAAGGTGATCATTAGCCGGGATGTTGTATTTGATGAGAACGCTTCTTGGAATTGGGAAGAAGACAAAACGAAGGAGAAAACAGTCCCTGCAATCATATTACAACAACAAAACCCAACAGCTGATAATGAGCAACCAGCTCCATGTACACCAAGTTCCTCATCCTCTCCAAGTTCACAAATTTCAAGTTCATCATCTCCCAGCTCAACTCCAATAAAATTGAAGGACTTGAGTGATATTTATGCAAGATGCAACTAATGTGTTGTGGAACCAGAAAATTTTGATGAAGCAATCAAAGAAGATGCTTGGAGGAATGCGATGCAAGAAGAAATAAATGCCATTGAGAAAAACAAAACATGGCAGTTAGTTGAAAAGCCAAATGACAAAGAAGCCATTGGAGTAAAGTGGGTGTACAAATTGAAGCATAATCCAGATGGGTCAATTCAAAGAGCCAAGGCTAGATTGGTAGTAAAAGGCTATGCAACAACAACCTGGAATTGACTATAGTGAAACTTTTGCCCCAGTTGCAAGATTGGATATTGTACAAACAGTTATTGCATTAGCAGCTCAGAAAGGGTGGAACCTGTACCAACTTGATGTGAAGTCAGCTTTCCTAAATGGAGAATTAAAAGAAGAGGTATATGTGCAGCAACCTCAAGGCTTTGTGACTAAAGACCAAGAGGAAAAAGTTTACAAGTTGAAGAAAGCTCTCTATGGGTTGAAACAAGCCCCGAGAGCATGGTATAGTGAAATTGACAGCTACTTCATTCAACAAGGATTTGAAAGAAGTCAAAGTGAGCATACCTTGTATGTGAAGCATCAAGGTAAAGATGATATCCTTCTTATTGCCCTTTATGTTGATGATTTGGTGTATACGGGTAACAACAAGAAAATGGTTGAAAATTTTAAAATAGAAATGATGAAAAAATATGAGATGAGTGATCTTGGCTTGCTGCATCATTTTCTTGGTATTGAGGTTTACCAAGATGAATATGGAATTTTTATTTGTCAAAAGAGATATGCTAAAAATATTTTGAAAAAGTTTGGCATGAATGGCTGCAGACCTGTTGATATTCCTTTATTGGTGAATGAAAAATTAAAGAAGGAAGATGGTGGAAGATTAGTAGATGCAAGTATGTATAGAAGTTTGGTTGGGAGCTTGTTTTATCTTACAGCTTCAAGGCCCGATTTAATGTTTGCTGCTAGTTTACTCTCAAGGTTTATGAGTAAACCGAGTCACTTACACCTTGGAGCAGCAAAAAGAGTTCTAAGGTATGTCATGGGAACCATGGAACATGGAATCAGGTTTGAAAAGAATTTTAAACTCGAAGTTAAAGGCTACTGTGACAGTGATTGGACTGGAAGTGTTGATGACATGAAAAGCACTTCCGATTATGTGTTCAGCCTGGGTTCAGGAGCAATTTCTTGGTGTTCGAAGAAACAAGATACTGTAGCGCAATCTTCAGCTGAAGCAGAATATTTGGCAGCTGGTTTGGCTACACAACAATCATTGTGGTTGAGAAGAATACTTGAAGATATCGGAGAAAAGCAAGAAGAAAGTCTGTTGCTTCACTGTGACAATAAATCAGCAATAGCCATGGCGAAGAATCCAGTTTTCCACAGTCAAACAAAACATATTAATATAAAGCACCACTTCATTCGAAGTGTGATCGAAGATGGTGATGTGCAGTTAGTGTTCTGCAATTCACAAGAGCAGCTTGCAGACATTTTTACTAAAGCACTACCAAGAGGAAGATTTCAGCAACTTAGAGAAGCAATGGGAGTTAAAGAGCAACACATTAAGGGGGAGTGTTAAAATTAATGTGTTGTAACCACCACTATCTTTAGGAAGCATTATGAGAGAATTGTAACCATCACATTATAATGATTGTCTTTATTTAGATTTATGGTAGAGTTGTATCATTAAAATTGAGAGAACCAAAGAGTCTTCATCTTGATTAGCAACATATTTGTATTCTCTATCAGTTTCATTCAAGCCTATATAAAGGCTTTGTAATGCTAAGATTAAATGTAACAAGTGTTTGGTGAATTAAAAAAAAAAAAACAGTTTTTCAATGGTCATCCACCAGTAGAAGTATAGTACAAAAAGTGACGAAAAGTAGTTTTCTCTGCAGAATCCTGCAACACTATAATTTTTAACATACCACCTCTAGAATACTGCCAACAGTTATTATATCATAGTAGAAATTAAGAACACCTAACTAAAACCAAACATAATTAAATCCTTAAAAACATACATGCTTCGTTCCTTGTTCCAAAATGCATAGTACTAAACAGGTAAATAACTACTTGTAGATTTTTTTGTTAATATTTTGTTAATTTACTGTTTGATAATTTGTAGTTGAGTTACCGCAATGATAAAACAGTGTTGGTGAAAGTTGATGTTGAGAAGCCTAAGAAGAAAAGATCATCATCAATTCAACAGTATCACCATCATCATCACTATTATCATATTCATATCACACTATTACAACACAAGAATAAATGATGGTTCAGGTAGAAGTAATAGTAGTAAAGGATATGATAGAAAATCAGGATTGCTTATCTACTCACATCTCCTTCGGAATTCTGTCGTTGGAGACATAGGCACAGTTTGGAAAACTTTGTGACCAAATATCATGTTAAACAATAAACAAAATCAGTTAAAACATCTTCAAGGTAAAAAAAAATCTTACCTTCAAGTAGATATTGATGGCTCTGTATGGAGTCAGACCATCATGATTTGGTCTAGCAAACTCTAGAATTGATTATGATAAATCAACAAAATTCAGGAGGTCGAAATTTTGATCATGTGGAATTTCTCCAAGATAACCGTCAACCAACTTGCCAACATTCAGTATCGACCTATTGTTTCAACCAGCGATTTGTTCCTCCGGGCATGAGCATCGGAAACCAATGCATCAACAAAATCAGGTAATCATCTATCTGCATACGTTTTCAGTGCCTCGCTGATCACAACACATAAAATAATAAATTGTTTGCATATGCAAAACTGAAATAAAGCAACATAAAATTCAAAGATTAAGAAGTGATACAACAGATTGTGTTTTGTTTCAACTTTCCTTGTAGGGAAGATGTAACTTGTCCAAGTTCTAAAAACGCTAAAAGTCACCTTTCCTTCCATTTTAACACTAACCCGTTAGCAAATCTGCAAAAGGGGTAAAATCCAAGCCCGTCAACAAATCAAAACAATTGAAATCAAACTACCAAAAATATGTAAACTACACCACAGATTGGTTCGGTTCCAGCCGCCGCAAGAACCTAAAAGCCTAACCAAGTTCATTGTCCACTGAATGATTAGCGTAAATAGTATTATAATCTAACTACTTGCAAACATGCGAATAAAGCACAAAACTATATAAATTATTAAACAGATTTCAGAACTGAAAAATTAAATAGTAGCAATACTCACAGAACTGCAATCATACGCCACCGCAAACACTGACAAGCTCAACTATTGTAACTTCTACTCCAAAATCACCACCACAACTTGAGACATAACTAACATTAACCTGCATAAGTAATATACATAATTTGAAGCAAAAAATATTCTGTTATAATTAACAAAACATGAAATATGAAATATGTAGAAAGTACCCATGGATTACTACGGTAGCAATTTCCACCATACAGTATTACTATTATTTTGGTGTTCTTGGATGTTCTCTACTATACAACATTTAGTCTCATATAACATTTGCAGGTAAATACATCATGATATCAACTTATTTAGCCGTGACTCAGACTTATATATTGTGTTATCATTTGAAATCATATATATGCAAATAATGAATTTTCATCTTCCAAGTTATATAACCACGTACCGTATCAAGTCGACAATAGATACAATATTCTAGGGTTTTGTCGACATCGTCAATATTCCTGAATCAATACCAAATACAATTGCATTTGGACCTGGTCATGAATACGCAACTGGAAATTTCCAATTTGCTCAATTTGATGTTCATATAACCTCTTCCCTTCAAACATATTATTAAATCTTCATCATAAATAAATAAAAAGATGACTAATGCTAATGTTGGTGAAATTTCTATGCAACATATTATCAAACATATGGAGTGCTTCTTCAAATCTCCAACATATTATCAAACATATGGAGTGCTTCTTCAAATCTCCAACATATTATCAAACATATGGAGTGCTTCTTCAAATCTGCAACATATTATCAAATGACTCAATATTATACTTTGGGCTTACGTTGACTCTTTCTACGAGGCGCATTTCGTCTTCAAGTAATGATAGTTGTGTAGCTGATGTCCAATGAATGCAATCAACAGGGCTGAAATAGGATAATGAAAGTCAAATTAATCTAAGAAATATTAGCTTAGTTGCTTCAAAAACATTATTGTTTTTGTGTCGAATCAGGAAATCATAATTATGATTAATATAAAATTGAAACCTATTTGCAAAAGAAAAACAACAAATGAACTATTAGACCTGAATAGTTACAAGGTCGTCCCTAATAAATGTTTCATTGGTGAGGAACTCCTTCTAGTTTTTTGTTCTGTTTTGATGTTTAACTCCTTAACAACCTACTTCCCACAAACTTACATAAATAAAAAAAACCATTGTCAATTTTGGAATAAACTGAATGTATTATTATGATTTGAAATGTACAAAACAGTATTATATATATTGTTTGAGTGTAACAAACTATAATAAACTACAAACTGTTTAGTAATAAACTAAACAGAATTATAACAAACTATAACAAACTACAAACTGTTTAGTAACAAACTAAACAGAATTATTTTCATCATGTAATAGCCCCCCACAAGCTGGACTATGGATATCTAATAGACCAAGCTTGGAAACAAGAGAATCGAAAGAGGGAGCTTCCAAAGGCTTGGTGAGAACATTTGCCAATTGAGCAGCTGAAGAAACTGGTAAAAGATGGATGAGACCAGTTTGGATTTTCTCACGAATGACGTGGCAGTCAATTTCGATATGTTTTGTTCGTTCATGGAAGGTGGGGTTGTGAGCAAGGTAGATAGCACTTTTGTTGTCACAATAGACTGAGATAGGTTGATCAAAGGAGATGTGGAGATCCTTGAACAAATACTGCAGCCATTGCAATTCACAAGTCAAGCTTGCCAAGGCCCTGTATTCCGCTTATGAACTTGATTTTGATACTGTAGACTGCTTTTTGGATTTCCAGGATATGAGGGAATTGCCAAGGAACACACAGTAGCCAGTTACGGATCTGCGGGTAGCAGGGAGACTTGCCCAATCTGAGTCTGCAAAGCCAGAGAGTTTGAGTGGAGAGGAAGATGAATAGAACAAACCCTTGGCAGGAGCACCTTTGAGATACTTGAGTACTCGAATTGTTGCAGAATGATGAACTTGCATAGGATGTGAGATGAATTGGCTAAGTTGTTGAACGATGAATGTAAGGTCAGGTCTGGTGGTAGTCAGATATAGGAGTTTTCCAACAAGCCTTCGATAAGTTGTGACGTCTTCAAAAGGTGGTGAGTTATCATCATGAAGCTTTAAGGAGGAATCGAAGGGAGTAGAGCAAGGTTTAGTAGCCAATAAGCCACTGTCTTCGAGAAATTCCAAAGCATACTTTCTCTGATTGAAAAAAATGTCGTGAGTTGATCTGGCAACTTCTAGACCAAGAAAATATTTTAGCCTACCAAGGTCCTTGATTTTGAAAGTGGAATCAAAGAAGCATTTGACATATTGGATTTCCTGCAAATTATTACCGGCTAAGACAATATCATCAACATAGACTAATAAGGCAGTAAAAGAAGAGTCATGTGATTTTGTAAAAAAGGAATGATCAGCAGAAGAATATGAGTAGCCAAGAGAGATAAGAGCAGTGGACAATTTCGAAAACCACTGTCTGCTAGCCTGCTTCAGGCCATATAATGACTTATGTAATTTGCAAACTTTGTTGGTCGAAGAAGTGCAAACTTCATTGGTCGAAGAATTGCTAACTTCGTTGATTGAAGAAGTGCTAACTTCGTTGATTGAAGAAGTGCAAACTTCGTTGGTCGAAGAAGTGCAAACTTCGTTGGTCGAAGAAGCAAAAGAGGTGTAAACTTTGTTGGTCGAAGGAGTGCAGACTTCGTTGGTCGAAGAAGCAGGGGGCGGGAATCCATGAGGCAGATCCATATACACTTCCTCATGTAGATCACCATGAAGGAAGGCATTGTTGACGTCGAGTTGTTCCAAATGCCAATTCTTAATGGCAGCCACTGAGAGAAGGGTTCGAATAGAAGTAAGCTTCGCAATAGGTGAGAAAGTGTCGAAATAATCCACCCCCTCCAGCTGAGTATATCCTTTTGCTACCAAACGGGCCTTGTATCGTTCGATGGATCCATCAGCATGATGCTTGATTTTGTAGACCCATTTGCAACCAATCGATTGTTTGCCTGCGGGAAAATCAACAACAGACCAAGTATTTGTAGATTCAAGAGCATCTAACTCAGATTTCATAGCATTGTTCCAACAATCAAATTTGCAGGCTTGTTTATAGGTTTTTGGTTCTGTGAAAGAGCTTATGGATAGACAAAATAATTTGTGATCAGGACTACATTGGCTATAAGATAATCCAGAAGAGAGAGGGTAGTTAGAGGAACCTGAGTCAGATGCTGGCAGCATAGGGGATAGCAAATTGCAGTGATAATCAGACAGACAAGCTGGAGGTTTAATATTTCGATTGGATTTTCTGGTTGGCACAGGAGGGGAGGGGCAAGGGGAGTTGTTAATGTCATTCGAGGAAGAAGAGAGGTTAGTGGGAGATTCTGGCTGGGGGAGAGAGGTAGGAGAGGAAGGTTCATTTTGTGGTGGAGGTAAGTTGGGTGGAATGTTGGTGAAAATATCAGGTGAATCAATCGAAGGAGGGTCAGGAGTAGGAATTATATGATTAGGTGCAGGTGGGATGGATGCAAAAGGGAACACAGTTTCATAAAAGAATATATTCCTTGAAATGTAAAATTCATGTGTGATAGGATCATAGAGAAGGTAGCCTTTTGTGCCTTCCCTGTAGCCAAGAAAAATAGATTTCCTTGCTCTTGGTTCGAATTTAGTGCGATGGTTAAGCAAGGTAAAAGAATAGGCAAGACAACCAAAAACTCTCATATGGCTAAGGCTGGGAGGAGTAAAATGGAGTTTTTGGTATGGAGAGTGGTTGTTTAAAAGAGGAGTGGGAAGACGGTTTATAATATGAATGGCATGTTGTATGGAAAGGTGCCAAAGGTTGTGAGGGAGGTGAGAGTGAAAAGAGAGGGCACGAGCAACATTCAAAATGTGTTGATGTTTTCTTTCCATGATACCATTCTGTTGAGGCGTTTCCACACAAGACCTTTGATGAATGATTCCTTTAGAAAGGTAGAAAGTGGTCATGAGAAACTCAGGACCATTATCACTTCGAATGCACTTGAGTTTCTTGTTAAATTGGGTTTCGATAAAGGATATGAAGTGAATTAAATGGTTTCTGGTTTCACTTTTGTTGGCCATAAAAATTGTCCAAGTAAACCTGCTGTAATCGTCTACGAGGGTTAAAAAATACTTGTGGCCACATATCGAAGGTGTGGAAAGAGGGCCCCAAATACCAACGTGAAGTAAATCGAAGATGGCAACAGACTTAGTATTACTGTGAGTAAAGGGCCAATGTTTTTGCTTAGCCAAATGGCAAGTGTTACAGGGCTTGTGATTGTCATTGTAGGTGATAAAAGGAAATTGAGAGGAAATACATTTGTGTATGTGGGGACTTAAGTGTCCAAGCCTAAGATGCCAAATAGTAGCAGGATCGTGTTTAGCAGGTTCTAATTGGGGAGAAGAGGAGGTGTTGACAGAGCCGGATGTGGGAGAGATATCCTTAGATGGGGTGGTATCAAGAACATACAATTTGCCAATCCTCCTAGCTGTAAATCCAGTCATCTTGGATTGGGACAACTGCATAATGTGACAGCAATTAGGAGAAAATTTCACATCATATAAGGTGGAGTCAAAAAGAGTGGTGACAGAGATAATATTGACATGAAATGAAGGAAAGTAATAAACATTGTGAAGGACAAGTGAATCACATAGTAAAACTGAACCAACAATAGTAGTGGTGACAGAGTCACCATTAGGCATTGTCATATATTTAGGTGCAATGTGGTATGTGGAAAGGAAACTGGCAAAGATATGGGTGATGTGATCAGTGGCACCTGTGTCAATGATCCACCAGTTATGATAAGGAAGATTTGAGGAATTCTTACCATAGGAAGTATGAGGAGAGGTATGGGACACATAATTAGCAGTATAAACAGAATTAATCGAGGGAGGTGAAGGAGATTGCAAATTAGATTGTTGGAGGAGCTGCAGAATCTGAGTGTATTGCTCTTGAATCGTAGACAAAGCACTTGGACTGGTGTTTGATGTGGAAGCAGCATCTTGAATCGAGTTCACTGTAGAATCAACAGAATTTCCCACAGATGTAGTAGGCTTGCGTTGTTGAAATCCAGGGGGATAGCCATGTTTCAAGAAGCAAGTCTCAATGGTGTGATTGGTGCGGTTGCAATGAGTACATAGTTTGTTTCCACGGCCACCACGGCCACGACCACGACCAGGGTTGTGAGAAGAACGAGAAGGTGCTTGAGAAAGGTGATTCACAGACGATTGAGACTCAATCGAAGAAGCAGAAGGTGAAAGGAGGTTGAATTGACGTTCTTGTTGAAGAACCAGATTAAACACATTATCAAGAGTTGGTAGTGGTTTCATCAGCATAATCTGCGAGCGAACATGAGCGTATTGGTCACCAAGGCCCTTCAAGAACTTGATAACTTTATCTTGTTCTTTGAATTTGCGTAAGTCTGAAGCAGCACCACATGAGTACGGTATAGCGCAAGTACAATCACGAATTGGCCGGAAGTTCTCAATTTCTTCCCAAAGCGTCATCAATTTCGTTAAGAATGAAGAGACATCGAGAGTTCCTTGTTGAAGACGAGCAACAGTTTCTTGAATGTCAGCAATGCGAAAAAATCTCCCTGAGAAAAACGATTTTCCAAACTTTTCCATACAAGAGAAGCACGATCATACCAGAGAAGAGATTTTTCAATTTCCTCAGAAATCGAGCGTTGAAGCCATGAGAGGACGAGATTGTTGCATCGCAGCCAAGGTTCGTATAGAGAGTCGGAGGTAGGGGAGGAGAAAGAGTGCCATCAACGAACTTGATCTTGTTCTTGGAGATAAGAGCCACTTTCATTGATCTAGGCCAGATCTGGTAGTTCTTGGTATCAAGAACAGGTTGAACAAGAACAAGAGAGGGATTCTCATTAGGGTGCATGTAGTAGGGATTGGAAGGATTGGTAGCAAAATCAGAGTAAGGAAGCGCCATAACAAGCTGAAGCAGCAAGGGAAGAAGGAGGCGCGAAGGCGCGAAGAAGAAGAAGACGCGAAGAAGAAAGGCGCGGAAAAGGGAATTCAAACTGATACCATGTCAATTTTGGAATAAACTGAATGTATTATTATGATTTGGAATGTACAAAACAGTACTATATATACTGTCTGAGTGTAACAAACTATAACAAACTACAAACTGTTTAGTAACAAACTAAACAGAATTATAACAAACTATAACAAACTACAAACTGTTTAGTAACAAACTAAACAGAAGTATAACAAACTATAACAAACTACAAATTGTTTAGTAACAAACTAAACAGAATTATTTTTATCATGTAATAACCATATACAAAATTTAATTAGCAGTATTAATATTAAGGATCCTGATAAAAACAAACCTCGTAGCAGAAGACATTTCCATTAAAATGGATGATCTGGACATGATTCTTCAGAGACTGAAATCAAAACAGAATAACAAAAAAAGCTTACAATGAAACTCAAAAAAATCACACGTAAAACCAAGCAGCTCAAAATACGTAATAGATGGAACACTAAATGGAGAGCAACTTACAAGGTCACCGAACTCTGAGGCAATTTTAACTGCAACAGATTCCTGCAACTGAAATCATATCCAATATCATTCGATACAAATGAAATGGAAAATGTTGCACAAGCTAAAAAATCTATAAGAGCAAACAGAGGTTAGGCAAAGTACGCTACTTTACCTCTTTATTTTTAACAAAATAGAGGTAATAAATTATTTTTTAAAAAATTATAAGATAATATTGATCATGAGTTCGACCTCCAACGACTGATTTTTTTTTCCAGAACTATACTACTTTTTACCTTGATTTTTAAATAAGGGGTAAAATTTTCATGTCTCCACTTTTTGCTCTTGGTGTTTTCTTAGGTTATTATTAATTAATTTACCTCGGGTAATGAATCTATAATTTGTTGTAATGAATATATATATATATATATATATATATATATATATATATATATATATATATATATATATATATATATATATATATATATATATATATATATATATATATATGATCTGACCTGATCAGAAATGGACCGTCACGGCTGACTCCGAGCAGAAAGCTTTTTTGAACGAGGTGGGGGGGGGGTACCTGCAAGGCACTCCGATGCTGAAGTAAGTAGGAGTACGAGAAGATAATAGCAAGTTGAGGTTAGAATGATCAATACCTGACCCTCTGGAAACAGAGGGTATTTATAGCCCCCAGCGCTGGGCCAAGGTTCCTCCATTGGGCCGGGCGGATTTGGCCCAATGGAGGAACTGCCAGGTTCTACTTAGGTAGTGGGGACCCGCACGTGGTCCCCTTCCTGGATGTTCTGCGTGAAGTGCGGGCGGACGGAGACGCGGTCTTTCCGGAGTATCGTTGGGGGGACGGAGGACTGATTCTGCCCTAGCTGGGATGCTCGAGACAACGTCGAGCTGGACAGCAGGGTGTCGAGCTCGACACCAGGACGTCGAGCTGGACAGCAGGGTGTCGTGCCGGGCGTCAGGACGTGGACTTGGACAGCGGGATGTCGAGCTGGACATCAGGATGTCGGGCACGAATGTGACCCATTTGCTCGGCGTGGTCCTCAATAAGTCCCTCTGGATTGGGCCTTAGTAATGCTTTTGGGCCTGTCGGGCCCAGTCCAGAACAGGAGCCCCCCAAGTCGTGGTTCCTTTGCGAGGAGCCATGACTTGAACCCAAGTTGTTCCCTCGCTGAGGTCTCGTGCCCGGGATAGAGGTGTGGGCCCTCGAGGGGCCTCCTCGTGTCGTGCTCGGAGACGCCCTCGGAGGTGGATGCGCGGAGGATCCTTACCGGGCGCGCCGGTCGAGCACACGAGGTATCTTTCGGGAACTGTGCCGCCACCCTATGGGGGTAGGGCCATCATTGCGTTGGGAGCAGCGCGTCGAGGAGATGTAGTCCGTGGTTGCCCGAGGTGACGTTTGGTATTCCACGTCATCACTATAAATAGGAACCTTGGGCCCCATAATACGTTTTCTGCTCTCTGCTCTCTCTGCTGCTGCTCTTCCAGACTTTCTCCAGTTGCGACTTCTCGTCATAGATTCTTCCATTTCGTAGCCAGATCCCACTCTTTGATCCAAGTAAGTGACCTACCTTCTTCATTTTTCCGTTTAGAATGCATGATTCCTGGCATTTGTAGATGTTTTAGGACCGTGCACGTGGGTTTAGCCCGGTAAACTCGTGCTCAGCCCGACACATTCATGTCTAGGCCCGGCAAACGCATGTTTATGGCCGGCACATTCATAGTTTAGGTGATAAACTTCAGAGCTGCCCGGGGTCTTCATGATCCAGGGCGCCTGATTCATGATCGCGCCCAGTATGTTCATGGTCTTGGCCGTGGGCTTCGTGGTGCGGCTCGCCATGTTCATACCTCGGGTCGACATGCTTGCAGAGTGGCCGCGTAGTTGGTTTGAGGAAGAACACCGGGTTCAGGACGTCGGGGAGGCAACCATTCATGGAAAATGGACTCATGTAGTCGTGTATGGGGCGACATGATTTTGTCGAGCGTAGGACTTCATGCTCAACTGACTGGTTTCCCGTGCTCTGCAGGTAACCATGGCGGACGAGCCGAGCTCTTCCGGACGCCGCGACCGTGACGAACAGAGTGCCGACGAGTCGGTCACCCTGATTGATACAGTGACCGACCCTTTGCTGGAATGGGTGGGCGTCGAGCCGCGGGGGATAGCGTCGGTATACAGCCGGGACGACCGACATCCATTCGACATCGTTGAAGAGGGTCAAGACCAGCCCGGCTTCCAGAAAAACTTTGTAGTTATGGTTCCGTCAACCCGGGCAAGGATTTGCTCGGTCTATCTGAATTACAGCCTCGCGATGTATGAGATCGCGTTCAAAGACCTAGGACTGCGGCTGCCATTCACTGATTTTCAGGCCGGGGTCTTTATGCACTTGGAGTTGGCCCCGTCCCAGCTACACCCAAACTCTCTCGCCTTCATCCGGGCGTTTGAGTTGACGTGTCGCTACCTGAGGATCGGGGCGACCATCCCTCTTTTCTTCCGGGTATTTCACCTGCAGCGTCAGTCCCGAGGAGGGAAACATAGTTGGGTCTCCCTGAAGCAGTCGAGGAGACTTTTTAAGATGTATATGGACTCCGTGAGGGGGTTTAAAGACAAGTGGTACGTGGTACGGCCAGTTACCGACGCTGCTTTAAATTCCCTTTTCGAGGAGGAGGGGCCGGTGAGCGACGATGATGGGGAGGCGATGATGAGCGACGACGGGAGCCCTGTGTTGGGTCGTAGGGCTAAAATCCCGGTGTACTGGATGTCCCGGCATTACGAGCATGGGACGGGTTATTACCATACCGCCGCCGGGGACATGTGCTCGGAAGACGAGCAGGCGTACGACGCTCTTTGCCGGTTTGTCGACAGTTTCCATCCCGCCCGGTGGGTTACGCGGGAAGGGGATGATATCTTGGACAAAGACGGTTACCCAACGTTCGAGTCCCGTCCGATCGACACCAAGGCGCTGGTGGAGTGTCCGACTTATAGGCAGGCTGCCCGCCTGTTAGGTTGTTTGCTTGAAATTCTTTATTCGTCATTTACTCATGAAGTTTGCTCGATACTGACTTTTCCTTTATTTCGTGCAGGTACGATGGCTAGCCGACATGAAAGGCTCTTGAAATTATCCTGTGACCAGAGGCGGGGCAGGAGGGTCGTGAAGGCCCCACAGGCGACGAGGATGGGTCCCCCACCCGGTCCAAATGTTCCTCAGGCGGTGAGGGTGGACTCGCCGTCGAGCTCGGGACCAGCATCGGATCCAGAGGTCGAGGAGATCGACCCCAGTGCCGTTTTGACGCAGAGGAAGAGGACCCGTGTGGAAGGTGGTCCGACTGTCGGCGAGGACGCCGACGCTGTTAGATCTTTCGCCTTCCCCCCTTGTTTCGAAGAGGCGGGATTTTTCGAGCGATTCCCCCCGACAGTGGTTGCCCATGAAGCTGAGGCCATAAAAAAGATGAGTAAAGAGGAAAGGAAGGCGTATCTGGCCGCCAGCGTGGATGGGCTGGTAAAAATGGCCGAAATGGCTTTGGTGTTATCTGAGGATGGAGGGGATGCTGCCCGTGTTGAAGAACTCGAGCAGGAGAAGGCGGCGCTGACCGCGAGCTCGCGGAAGTTGAAGGTCGCTCTGGAACGCTCCGAGGGGATGTTCCGAGAGCTGACCGTGATGCTCGATGCTGAGAGGGAGATGTTGACCCTGGAGAAGGAGAAATCGGGGAAGTTGACTGAGGAAGGGGAGCTTCTTCGGGCGGACAGGGATCGCCTGGCGGCCGAGGTCGAACGCTTGGGTAAACAGGTCGAGGAAATGAATGCTACCCTGCAACCTGCCGAAGATGAGCCCGAGGACATAGTAGCTTTGAAGGGTCGGGCGGAGCTGGTCGCCCACATCCGGCTCCTCGAGGTGGACTGCGTCGGTGCCCTGGAGGACGGGTTCAATTCTGCGGTCGATCAACTTTCCTTGCTAAACCCTGGCCTGGTCACTGAGGGTATCGGTCACACACACCGGATTGTAGGTGGCGTGATCGTTCCTCCGCCCGACTCTCCTAACACCGACAATGATGATTCCGTGGAAGTCTGAGTAGGATAGCGGGCCTGCGTGCCCTTGATATTTGTATTCTTTGGGCCTGCGTGCCCGTTTATTGTATGTTATGAACATCGTCGGCCTTCTTGGTCGGTTTTACTATTGTTTTGTTGCCTTCGGGCATTTATATCAATGGTGTTTTACATTTTGGATTTTTGCCCTTGTTTGAAATCACATGCTTGTATGAATTTAGCCTAAGCCACGGGCCCGAGGAGTGCCCGTAAGTGGCCTTGATTTGGCGAGCGAATATGCTCGACTTCGTTTGTATGCGTTCCCGGCCCTATTTCGATTGGCCAGAACCACCTAAGTGTTGCGCTCGAGGGGAGAGATTTTCTTTTGACCCTTGTAGATGGCCCGTTATTCTTGATGGAATGTCGGGCATTTCGGAGCGAGGTTGCTCAGTCGGGCGTGGAGCCCGTTAGGGACGATTCGCCCTTGGCGTGAACTGCCCATCGCGAGCTGGGTGTTCTGCCTTATGGGTACAACGACGGTGGGGCTCGGTACAGCTGTCCACGTCGGGCACTATCGACCATCATCGTTTACCGCGCGATGCTGTGCTATTTTGGTCGTACGTCGGGCTTGTACCTTAGCCTTATACGAAATTGGACGTTTTTCCTCGTTGACCGAGCGCGGGTGCTGCTGGTCGAGGGTCCCAGGTGTTGACAGTTTCTAACTGTAGTACTGCTTTAGCTTAGCAGCATTCCAGGGTCTTGGTAATGGCTCTCCGTCTAACTGCTCGAGGTAGTACGCCCCGGTACCCGTGGTGCCTTGGACGCGGTAAGGTCCTTCCCAGTTTGCGGCCAACTTCCCTTCGCGGGAGTCTTTCTGGTTCCTGCGTAGTACCAGGCTGCCTATTTCGAACTCGCGCTTGATGACCTTGTCGTTGTGGCGTAGAGCCACTCGTTGTTTTAGGGTGGCTTCGCGCAGGGCAGCCCCCGATCGGATTTCCTCGACTAGGTCGAGTTCATCCCTTAGTGCTTCGTCATTCATCTCTTCGTCGAGGGGTTCCTCCGTTCATCGGGATGGCTCCATGATTTCGACCGGGATGACGGCTTCGGTGTCGTAGGTCAGTCGGAATGGTGTTTCCCCAGTCGTTGAGTGGGGTGTGGTGCGGTATGCCCATAGGACGCTGTGGAGCTCCTCGACCCATCCTCTTTTTGCTTCGCCGAGTCGACGCTTGAGCCCTCGGAGGATGACTTTGTTCGCGGCTTCGGCTTGCCCGTTGGTCTGAGGGTGTTCGACCGACGTGAAGTGTTGTTTGGTCCCCAGTTTGGTGACGAAATCTCGGAATCCGTGGTCGGTGAACTGGGTACCGTTGTCGGTCACCAGTGCCTGCGGAATTCCGAACCTGGCGAGCACGTTTCTTTTGTAGAAACGGAGGATGTTGTGTGAGGTGATTTTTGCGAGTGCCTCGGCCTCGATCCATTTCGTGAAGTAATCCACGGCGACGATTAGAAATTTGTTCTGGTAGGTCCCTTGCACGAAGGGCCCGAGGATGTCCATGCCCCACCAGGCGAACGGCCATGGGGACGACAATGTATTCAGCTCGTGCGGGGGGGCGAGGTGCATATCCCCGTGCTTCTGGCACTTGTCACATTTTTTCACGTGTTCCTTGGCGTCCTGTTGCATCGTCGGCCAGTAGTATCCTGCTCGAAGGGCTTTCCTTGCCAAGGATTTACCGCCCATGTGCTGGGCGTTGATACCTTCGTGTATCTCCCGCAGTACGTCGGGGATGGCGGACTCGTCGATGCATTTCAGGAGGGGAATGGAGAATCCTCTTCGGTACAGTTTCTGCTCGAGAACAACATAGGAACATGCTCGTCGCTTGATTATGGCAGCTTCGGCCTGGTTCGACGGGAGTTCTCCCTTTGTTAGGAAATTATAAACCGGGGTCATCCAAGACGTGGCATCCCCGATGGCGTGGACCTCGACCGTAGTCGAGGGTGGTTCGATACTCGGACGTGCCAGAGATTCCTGGATGACGGATTTATTCCCGCCCTTCTTTCGTGTGCTCGCGAGTTTGGACAATATGTCCGCCCTCGTGTTTTGCTCGCGGGGAACATGAGAAATTTCTGCACGTACGAACTTTGCCATGTGTTTTTTGACTAAGTTCAAGTACTCAATGAGGTTGTCATTCTTGGCCTGGTAGCTTCCCTGTACTTGGGAAGCGACGAGCTGGGAGTCGGTGTAAATTTGAACTTCGCGGGCTCCTAGGTCCTCGGCTAATCTCAGTCCTGCGAGCAGGGCTTCGTATTCTGCCTGGTTATTTGACGTCGGGAAGGAGAGAACCAATGAGTGCTCGATTACCACACCTTCTTCGTTTTCCAGGAGGATCCCTGCGCCGCTTCCGGACGAGCTGGAGGCTCCGTCGACGAAGATGGTCCACTTGTGTTCCTTCCCCGGGGGAATGTCGTTGGTGGTCATCTCCGCGACGAAGTCGGCCAAGGCTTGTGCTTTCAGGGCCTTCCTGCTCTCGTACTGAATGTCGAATTCGGAGAGTTCCAAGGACC